ACTGTCGATCCGAGCTCCGATTACCCGCCATTTGATGGGCTGCCCCCCGCGTCATACGGACCGCTGTGGCTGAACTTGTACCTAAGTGTCTATGATACCGCATCCTTTTTCACGGAGAACGAAGTTGTTCTGTTGCTTGCACTGATGCGGTCACAAGGCACTCCTGGTTATCCCAACGCGTACAGACATGTAAAGTATAACTATAATCCTAGTACTCGTAGACGAGAGCTTCGTAAGTCGTCGTTTTTAGATCCGCTTGCTACTGCAGCTGATCACTGTTTTTCATTCAGGCCATTATATTCCAGATACCGGGGATGTCTGGATTGGGCTAATCTCACAAATGCCGTTAAACAGTGTCAACAACCACCCCAAACTCAGCATTTACCATAACATGGCATGGTATCGCTACTACAAGAAAAATGACTGGCAGAGACCTGATCACAAATTTGGCACTCTACATGCCAGATCGCCTTCGATATCCGTCCAATTCGTGTTTGGATTCTACCGACGGGAAGAGATAGTCGAATTCGCCGACGCTCTTCCAGTTATAATGCCCATGGTATCAAGATTTGCGGCTGTACACTACGCGATCAGACTTGGGGGATCAATATGGTATCGAGCTTCATTAGACCCGGTGAAGATACAGGGTACGCTCGTCAATTTACTACCTTGCACAATATCAGCTGATGCAATGATTAGGCGAGCCCAAATATGATGGGTTTGAAGTGTATCCGTTCTAAGTCTCGAGCTCCGACAAAGGTTGCGTATCATATTGCCCTTGATATCATGCATCAAGCTATGGTATGTAGTCCCGTTCAATATGCATCCAGCTCGTAATGAACATTGGGTGTGTAAAACAAGGATACGATCGCTCCATGATAGCACGGCGATACGGGTGTACATGATGCAGTACCTGCCACGATACGAATCCATTCTTTCGTGAGAGCCTCACCTACAATCCATTCCACATGCCCTGGCCCCATGGCGAGCAGCGAGCAGCTCTCCATCGCTAAAGCCCATCCGAGTCCGAGTCGTTTCGGATGTGGCGGCGGTCGGGATCGATGTTAGAGACGGAGAATGCCGGCGGTCCATCGTCCCGGATTCCGGCCCCTGGGGCCCGAAGACGTACGCGTAACACCTGGCAGGAGCGCGCGACGCCTAGGTTCTTGAAACTCGAAAGCGACGGCGACCTCCTCTTGCGTTTCACCGTGTCCATCTCACTCGTGTAGGCTCCGCATTGAATGACCTATTTGCATCGGGATGATACCTAACTCGTTGGTCTTCACGCTTTACCGAATACACAGCGTCATCGCAGCTCGGAATCCGAAATCTACACTCGGACGACCACCTAGAAAGACTACTAGAGTTCAGAGAAGATGACTGGGCACCTCCTAGGTAAGACAGTCCGAATGGCTGGTTAGTGGTCCTTGCTTTACTTGATCCGTTTGTAGCTATGCTTATGGCTTGCATTGCATTCAAAACGGATTGCGTCTCACGGGAGAGGAGCACCAGCTCTGGGAACCGCGTACAAAGAGTCAGTCGGTGCTCAGCTCCAGTACAATCTGCTGCGTGGGGAAGGTGATATGATATTGAGGTTTTATATTATTCTCGTACGTATTTCGTTGGTCATATCCGCCACTTTCTCACCGTTGACTATGTTTTTTCCAGCCATGCTCTCCATACAGCTCATGCCTACGTCGGGTTTGATATCCTCACTTCTCACTCGAGCTGTCGCGTGCAAGAAAAGTCCAAGAGTGCAGCTTTAATTCAAGCTTCGCTGTACAATGTCAATCACAGTGCTGTACCTGAAAAGTGATACGTAGTCCCATTGCGTGGTCGATATCTTCAAGCCATGGGTCATTCAGAGGAGTCTTAGAAGATTAGGGATAAGGGTTGTTGAGGATACATCGGATGGTTTCGCCGCAGATCTAGGTACGTCCGCAGCAGGACGTTCGAAGAAGCTGAATAAATATCACTGCTTGGTAGCGAGGCCTCTCCTGCGGCAGCAATGCGAATGGCGAGTTAGCAGTAAATTCAGGCTCGGTCCACGGATGGTGTATATCATGCTAAGTATGTATTTCCACTACTATTTATGTCTTTGCAAGCTGACAAGTATCGCCAACAAAACACGACTGTCAGTAGTTTCAAGAGATCCGATGGACGGGCCACATTCAGCAGCGTAGCTTGCATATACCATCGAAATATCATCTCCGGAAGGCGAAGATTTATAAAATAAACTCGTCGTACACTGCCATTTCCCGTTGCGTACACAGACTTCTCGAATCTCGGGCAAAGGCTGCCTTTATACGTCTCGACCTTTCTCAGTACAGTATTCTCGAGCGGTATTTCTGGGTCTCCACTGGCTACGACTATACTCCGCAAAACATTGGCGCAGTCAAATTGGTAGAAATGAGGTTCAACACAAACTTCATCCGCGCATTTCGTATTCCCGAGCTGAGGTACGCACAGATCGCACTCCTTCACTAGTAACGTGTCCTTACAAACTATTTTCTCACGCCTCGTGATATGTAGAGTTTGGCTCCTCCCATGACGGCGCTTCATCGTAGTTGGACCCTTTCCGCACCCTGGATGCGAACACAGCAAGCGTGGCACGTTTGGGCGACTAAGCGTCGCCTTTCCACGATACGCTTCTGTGTCGCGCAAATTCCCGATCCTGTCCTTCAACCTGGCCGTGCTCCTTGGACATCGCCAACGATCAAGCTGAGAACGGATTACGCGCTCAGTGAAGCCAGGGATGGTGCATTTGCTGTACGCTTCTCCTCGTATACCTGTACACATCTGGCTTCTAACATCTAGCACAGACAATACGTGCACTCGGCGTATCTGTGTCCTAGCAACCGTTCTGCCAACTACGACGTCCGTCTCATATGCTGGTTCCGATACGCGCCAAGACGCTCGACTGCCGAAGCCTGAGCACTAGATGCAAAGCGTAGCTGCGCCATCCTCTCCATCACTTTGCGGCCATGTTTAGCGACTCCATCCATTGTAGACAACTGCATGGTTCCGACAAGTCTTGAGCATTCGCTGTGCCACTCCGACCCAGTGCATGACGACCGAAATTACGCCTTATCCACCGCCTCGTCCTAGAGAGAGGAGGACAGCCGTCACGCAAGGCTGCGCTACCTTGCCATCTTTCATCGCTTCAGGACCTAGATCTTGATGTAGCGCGATACCACTAAGGTTTACGAATGTTAAGGGTCCCTATAGATGGCGTCCTGGCCAATCATACATGATAAACTTCGTCCAGCCCTGACCCTTCCGCATCGGTCTCTATGCAACACCAACTGGGTCACGGAAGCAGTCCGCAGACATTTCCTGTGGCTGTAATACAATAGACTTAGTGTCGTACTTACTCTCTATAGAACGTATCAGTCCTCGTATCTTCCAGTAAGGCTCCGCGCTAAATTCTCATCAGCATCTGTCAAACTAATCTTATTGTCATTGACTACAGTCGATAGATGAAATATCTGTCAAGTTCTGTGCTATTCCGCATGGACACTGAGGAAATTCGTGCTGTGCAGCACGACCCTCGATTTCCACATACATATAATCTTGCCGCATTCCAAATATGCTTCTCTTACTCTCTTCCCTCCACGCCCACTTGCCACCATGGAGTACGCAGACATTCAGATATCGTCTCAACCTTCACTCAGAGACATGGACTTTCCGACGGAGCTCGGGGTGAGAATGAGAGGCGGCGTCGTGTGGTTCTGGCTATTGGACCAATGGCGATGCGTTCCCAACGAGCTATGGGCGTGGAAGTTCGTCTCACTAGCAGAGCTCAAGTATACGCAGCGGCAGGTCTGGGCACCAAGGGTAGGCGAACTCTCCGTTGTATAATATGGTTACTCATATATTTGTCGTCAAAGCTTCTATCGTTCGATTTCTGGGACTACGTATCTGGGCGAATGCAACTGCCGCTTTCACGACTGACGTCACCCAATGCCCAGAATACACCATCTGGCGGAGAAATTGTTGCTGCTCGGGTGTTTGAACTTATTCGTAGCGAAGAAAATCATCAGAGACTGCATCCCGATATTTTCCCAGAGGGCTATAGCTATGAGGACCGACAGTTAGCGCGGACGTGCAGGCTAGTTTGTCGTTCGTGGGCGAAGCAGCTTCCGCAAGTTGGTGGGACCAAATTCGCATTCACGGAAGGACAAGTCTGGTATACAGTAGGAGCTGAGTGGGAGGTCTTGCCGAGGAGATGTTGGGCATGGTCCTTCGAGAGGATCCAGTCGTGGATGGAGCAGGGGCTGCTGGACAATGTGCGTCGCGAGGAAAGAACACAATGTAGAGCATGGTATCCCAAGGTATGCAACACACAATCTCTATGACCTCTTTACAGCTGATACGTGACATGCTATAGTTGATACGGCGGCCCGGTGACAATCCCAGCCTGTTAGAACGCGAAGGTCGATTGGAAAATCAATTGAATATGTCATCACTTCCAATTGCAAGTAAACCGTACGGCGCTGGCCCAAAACTCGCGACGATTCTCTTCTTGTCCAAATACCTTCGCGACATCAATGACAGGGTGTTGCATGGGACGTGGGTACCAGCCTGCCGTAGTTGGCTGAAGCAATGCACCAGGGATGGGAATTCGGAGCCAGGCAATATCAAAGTCGAGGGAGGAACGGCGCGATATTGGGTGGAGGGACAGTGGTGTTGAACGTAAAAATATCGGGCATATGGTGCAGATGGTCAGAGCACACGTAGTATGTACACGAGACCCGGTGTTCGACTCCCGGTGTGTCCAATATTGTTATTTTCGCTGTAAATCTGCCCTTCGGTCATCTCAAAATTCCAACATGGTGGACATGCCTGCGGGGTGCTGCCATATGTAGCCTCATGGACCCTGGGGGTGAAAGGCTAATGGCTGGGGCCAGTTGGAAGCCCTGGATGGTTCAGTCATGTAATTTCTGTCGAGTCTCTCCAGATATTACTGACTGAGGTAGTGTGTTGAACGTAAAAATATCGGGCATATGGTGCAGATGGTCAGAGCACACGTAGTATGTACACGAGACCCGGTGTTCGACTCCCGGTGTGTCCAATATTGTTATTTTCGCTGTAAATCTGCCCTTCGGTCATCTCAAAATTCCAACAAGTGCAATACTATTAGATTACATGTGTACACATACGTATCGATTGACAGAGACATGTTCGCACATGCATATATACCATATATAGCAATCGGTATGCCTACGGCCGGCTGACAGGTCCAGGTGCCAGCTAAC